CACTTGCAGCGGAGGGTGCCAGCCATGGGATGGGGAGGGGCCACTTTTCTTCGCGCAGGGAAGGAGCCCAGGGAAAAGATGAGCACAGAGGGGGAAGCGGCCCCTCCCATGCCCCACGCCCAGTTCTCCGTGTTGCACGTGCTCACAGCCCTCATGGGGCTGTCCAGAGCAGGCACAGGCAGCCCCATGCGGGCTGCGAGCAGCTGCAGCGTGGGGCACCGGCCATGGGCGGGGAGGGGCCACTTCCCCCCACCTGTGCTCCTTCCCCACCTGGGGTCTCCCCCCTGCCTTACCTGAGCTTCCCGCAGCCACATGCTCCCAGCCCAGAAACTGTGGCTGGGGCTTCCAGCTGGGGGTCAGGCAGGCCCCACTGTTGTTGGAGCCCACTGGGACTTCCCCTGGGTCCTACTGCCCTTGGTTCCTGTCACTTTTGACAGGAACCAAGGACAGAGCAATATTAATTTTCTACATTTTTTAGGGGCCCCGCGGGCCGAACAGAATGGCCTCCGGCCTGCGGGCTGTATTTTGCCCACCCCTGCTCTACTTATATGCAGCAGACAGAAGAATTGAGATGCAGAAGGGTCAGAAGTCAGAAACAGGGAGTTGTGTGGTTGCTGCTAGTGAACTTCCTGTGCTTGAGACCTACATGCCAGGTAAGTTCCAAATGCTCCTCAGGTACAGGATGGCTACAAGACAAGTGGCACCAGGGTCAGCCTCATACTCTTTAAGTTCAGCAGAGTTTTCAGGGTTTGGCTGGACTGCTACCAGGTGTAGAGCTAAGAGGCTGGTACGGGCTGTAATGCAATATGAAATGCTCTAATAGTGTAAAGAGAAAGCACAGTTGCTAATGGTGGTAGCATTTTTTTGCGATGTGTGCAATTACCAGGTTTCATCATTTTATTACAGAAAACAGGGTTAATACAACATAGGGTCTATTCTTACTTGCCTACAAACATTACTCCCAACTAAGGTTGTTCCCATTTGCTGAGGCCTAAAGTAAATTAAACTGGAGTTTCACTTTTTAAAACAAGTGGCACATTTTTTAGTTTGACCTAGGACAAATCCAAGAGGCAACTATAATCCACAAAGAAAACTTCTGGAATCAGTAAGTTGTTAGAAAGCTATTAAAAATAAATACATACATACATATTAAATACAGTATTAAAATAAGGCTATTAAAATAAATAAATATGAAATATAAAATATAAATGTTAAAAATAAATATACACACAGGCAAATTCGCACATAGAAACTATTTAAAAAAATCTTTTTGTTGGTAGACTTCACTTCCTTTATAGTTTTTAAGAAGAAAAATTATGGTGTAGACCTTTCAACATTGGTATCTACTTTTGCTTGAAGAAGACTAAAACCAGCAGTCAGTTCTGATATTTATTAAATTACATTCAGGTAAACTGGATTGAAATTATTAAGATTTCTTTCTTTTGCCCTTACCTTGTGCAACTTGCTTGACAGAGCACCTGTAAAAGACCAACAATAAAAAAAACCACCAGTTGATATATGTTTATAATAGTCCTTTAGAAATTTTCTCCATGCAGAAGCACAAATGCCTGGGTTTTCTTACCTCCTGTGCCAGTGACATCCCCTGAGGGGCAGTATTTATTTTCACAAAGGTGGACATCAGGTTCTGAGTCACAGGTTTGTAAGTTCTGCAACAACACACAGTTTGTTACAGTAAGTGCAAAAATATGGACACTTTAAAACACACTGCAATTACAATTACAACAATTTAAAATTGTGAATCTATGAGCCTTCTTATTTGCTCATTGCAAATTAGCCCCCTTGAATGGAATGGAAATTATAAATATTTGGGGTGAGGCAAAGCAACTTGTGTAGTTTGGTTATGGCATGAAGAACCATTTTTGTGGGCATTTCCTAGCAGCCCCACACCTCACTGTTGACTGGTGGAGAGGCACTGGCATTGCATTTAACTACTTAAAAGATGGCACTGAAACGTTTTCACTTTACTGACTGGCACCTTCATTTAGTCTATGTCACTAACAGACTGGGCACATCTACACATGTTCTTTAATGTGCCTTAGCCTATTTTAATGCACTTTAAAGCGACACAGAAAAAACCATTCTATTTAGCAAACGCACATTAAAATAAGCAGATGGGCCTTTTTCTAGTACCTCACAACAGAGGGCATTTATACACATACCTTTTTATCCCATGATATGCCGGAGATCCGCCACTTTGGAGCAGACTCAATTAATTGAGTCTGATCTGCACACAAGCTGGCTCACACCGGGCTGTGCTGCATGTAGTTGTATCAGTGGTTAAATGCTTCAGCACGCAGAAAATGGCGGTGGTAAGCTTTTGAACTAAAGCACCTTCTGTGTGTTTTAGTTCAAAAGTGCACTGCCGCCATTTTCTCAGCACTGATGCACATTTTGTCATTTATACAACTGCAAGCAATGCAGTGCCTGGTGCTTGTCAAAGCACCTGGTGCTGCAGCAGTTGCATGTGTAAAAATGCCCTGAGGTACTAAATTTGATGCGCATTATTTAAAACGTTTTAATGAACGTGTAGATGTGCCCACCCTCAATCATGTGATCTATGGCTGAAGTGATTGTCACATTGCCTTTGTATTGAGGTAAGCACTGGGACATTCTAAAACAGCATATTATATGAATAACGCACTTTTTTTTTTAGGTTGATTTCATGGGACATCACAGCCAGTGCAATATTTCCTAGCAACTGCAAACAGCTGTTTTTCACAGTTTCCACAAAAACCATAAAACTGCAAATTAGGTAGACTCCTACAAACATGTAATAAAGGGAGCAGAGCTGACAAAACACAAACGATTGTAGGTTAGCTTCTGACTTTTCACATTTAGAATTCCCTCTCGCAGGCTTAGATTTTCCCAGGAGGATGTGGGAAACAAATGAGGTTTTAGTTCAAGATTTTTAAAATCCTGTCTAAGAGCAGACAAATGCTGTTTGGCTGTAATCCACCTGCTGCAGACAAGTTGCTCCACCAAGTACCATGATGTTATCAACACTTTGTGCCCAGAAGCCAGCACGTTTTAGGGATCGTCAGCTAAAAAATGAACAGTTAAAAAAGTGCATTACAACTCAGCATCACATATGATGACTTAGTTACATATTAAACTCTCTTAAAGGCACATCCAGAATTCCTTGGGGCTAGCGATATAGGAACCAAGCCAAGGCTGTCTATATATTCCCAAGGAAACAGCAATCTTTTGTTTGTCTCAACAACAAGTTAAAGGGCTCTTTAACATTTAGAAAAAAATCATATAGAACTTAAACCTTGTAGGCAATATGGTTATATTACAAGTGGTGAATACATGTTATCATTGTGAAGTACATTGGGAATCAAACCAAGTAATCTGAATCTGAAGAAGAAGATACTGGCCACGTACAGGCAGTGTGGTTCTACCAGACGAATCCTGGTAGACGCTAGGAATGCATAAGCATTCATTCAATTTTTCCTGGGAGAACATGCCCCTCTGTGAGAGAAATTCCAGGCTGACACTTGGAAGACCTCCTTTGCTGCTGCTCCCCATGCCTTATGAACACTGGGATCAACCAAATTTGGGGAAGGTGGCATGAAAAGCAGCAGCAAGTAAGTGGGGACAGCTGCAGTACAGGCTCTGAAGTACATTTATTATAAATTTCCACTGGTAAAAATAAATGGCTGTTTGTAGCCGCTGCGCTATTTCTGCAATACAAGATGCTAAGCAGAAATAAGGTCTCAATTGTGCTACTGTATGGACAGTCCATAACAGCGGAATAGTTCTTGGCATTCATAGCATGGGAAAGAACTTCTGATTTGTTAATAATAAAAGTTGTGACTTCAATCCACGCCTCCAGCAGTCTTACTTCTGCTTTCACTTTCCTGAAGGCTTTTCCTGTTGTTTCTTGTGTCCCCTTTACCATTCAACCTCAAGCCCTAGGTCCTGAGTGTTTCCAATGTTCTGTGTAAAAGTTAAACCACTATTTTGTTCTTTGTAGGAAGAAGTAAAAAATGCTATTGACACATAGAATATACTGTATTTACTCAAATATGAGTTCCCCCCCTCCAGTTAACATGCGGAAAGAAGCCCCTTGTCTTACACTCACATACAAGGAAACCCTATTAGATGCACTGCCTATCTTTGAACAATTGCTAAAAGCAGCATGCACTCAGGAATGGAATCCAACTATGAATCTGATTAAATGTAGGTAACATTGAGCATGACTATAAAACACATGACCCACATAGGGCAGATCACTTCTCGGCCTTTTAGTTAAGATCAAGTGAGACAGTATGCATCTGAACCCCAATGCCTCCAAGTCTGGGGCTTGCACACAGGATGCCTACCTGGATCTGGGGAGTAACTGAAGCCCCAGACCAACAGGTCTGGGAGAAAGAGTACTTGCTCAGTGGTACAACCACAGACTTGATGATTGAATTAAATTTTTGAACTTAACTATTGGGCTTCGCCTAATTGAAATTAGAATGAATTTAGCCTTGCTAAAGAATAATTACAAAAACTAAATATGCTGATAGGAACCTACCACAAAAATAGTTTAATATAACCTATCTGAATAAGATATATGGTACTACACATTGTGCTCAGTCCACCTCAGTGTTGACTCTTTTTCAAGGCATGGTGAGCCACCACACTGAATACATTTCGACTTCCTCTTCACTCCCACAGCTCAGCTGTTCCTTTCTTTCCCATTTCCAAAGAGTCTTGTTTCTTCACCAGCCTTAAAGCTAGGGAGAGAAATTACACATAAACCGGTATAAGTGATTGGAAACCGGTTCAAATCTGTAACACAACAGAGGTTCAGTGCACATAAACCATTTTCAAAATGGCCAAAACCAGTTTAAGATAAACCTGGGTGGATGTAGAATCAAACTTAACTGATTTAGGTTAAATTGGTTTATTGAACTTCTGCCCCAAATTCCTTCCAAATTCAAGTTGACTCACAGTCCCTGGCATCCCAGGATGCTTTACACCACCCCTGCAAAGGCAGGTAGCCTTAGTACAAGCTGTCTGCTCCAATCGAAAAGGAAGGCATACTCTAGCATCCCTTGGCTTCTGAGCTGAGCCACTGCAGGCATGTGGCTGCATTTCTAGAATCAAAGTGAATGTCTGTTTACTTGCTGATTGATTCAATCTATACAGCTTAGACTAACCTGTGAAGATCAAATCAATTCAGCCTCAGGCTTTTTGGCTGTCTGTACTTAGCCCAAATGTCTGGCAAACATCACCAAATATGGTCTCAAACAGTTCAACAAGAATCCCTGTCACCCCCTCTCTCAACCCGATGCATATGATTAGTGTGGCCCTGTCCTCCATGAGTTAGAGCCAGACCAAGTTGCCCTGCACCTCATCTGCATATAAATTTTTGGAGGATCCTGGGACTCATAACACGAACACCTTGTTCCAGTCATGAGTGGGGGGCTACTTAGTACACCGATCCTTTGTTGACGGTATTTGGATGCATAATTAAACACTGCTGAACTGTGGGGTCACAATGGCTTGAAATGCTATTGGCCCTGTCGGGGCCCAGCCCATTGAACTATATAGTATACTACGGGCCTTTTGACTTTGGACTAGTATCATGTATAGTTTGCAATGATGAGGCCCCAACAACCCTGGTGAATCACCGGAAGATCCAAGAGGTAGTAAGGGCAAGAGACGTCATATCGCCTGTGAATCTATTTCCTGGTAATAGTTCCCAGGCTGTGATGGAGAGAATCTTCCACCAAGATCTACAGTAGGAGTACCAAGACTTGAACTGGCAAGTAACCCACTGGGAACGCCTTGTGAAGGCACGGAAAAACAGCACAGGGCAGAGAGGCCCATCCAACTGCCCCAGGCAATCCTGCTGGTAGGAGACAGAAACAATAGACCACCTCTTCCAGAACTGCCCACTTGCCAGAGAGGTGTGGAAAAAAGTTTACATACTCCTCCTGGTGGTAACAGGTTTTAAAACCCTGATCAGAGAGGTGCTGCTGTACAGGCACTTGACTAAACAGCACGGGGCCCTGACAGCCCACTTCATCCAAATCATCTCCTGCTTCAGAAATGCCCTGTGAAAGACCAGGAACTTGCTCACAAACAAGCACACAAACCTCCCAGTTGAGGATTGTATTAGAGTGGGCCTGAGTGAGATGTACTGGGACTACAAAAAGATGGTACAAGAGGATAAGAAAGAGATGGTGGACAGCACATGAAAGAGAGGGAACTAGTATACACTTTTCAGAGGCAAACCCTCTGAAGACAGCAATGAGGATAATGACAATGATGATGACAACAAATCCGATGATGAGTGAAAGAGCTAAACAAACAGGAGAAGGATTTGGGAGGGAAGAAGGGAGGAGACTGAGGTAATCCTTTGCGTATTTGGGATGGTTTCAAGGAGACAGTGATGGGTGCATGGGCACACAGGAGTGTAGGTACACTATGGAGAATGATGTAACTATAAAATTGTGCTTTGGGAATGTCAAGTGAACCATAGCGGTCACAAGACAAGTTGTTAGAGGTACAGTTAATTATATATATATTTTTATATATAGTAATACATATTTTTGCAAAAGTATAGTTTACAGGTCACTTGCGAAAATGAAAGTGAAAGAAAAGGACAAGGAAGAAAGGATGCAGAAAATACTGGTATAGGCTGCTCAGAGGCAGGACCCCCTAAGAGAACCATGATGACAACAAGTGGAAGAACTAGGGAAACAGATGGGGGAATTGGGTGGGAGGAAGGAAGCAATGAGGTGGTCCTTTGCATGATCATGAGAGTTAAAGGTGATGGTGACAGGCACGTGGACATGTGTGAGCGCAGGTGCACAGTGTGGTCATTGTAACTGGAATGAGAATAAGGTAACTAAAGGTGTGTTCTGGATGGTCGAGTGAACCATATCAGTCAGAAGACAAGTTTGTAGAGGTTAGGTGTCTGTCTGTCTGTCTATGTGTGTATGTGTGTTACATTATGATATGTACTATTACATATTAATATCATATATTATATTTATATATTAATATATAATTACGTGTGTGTGTGTGTGTATGCAAAATCCAAAAAGAGTTTGCAGGTCACCTGCTACGATGCTAGGCAATGTACACACCACCCAACATGTGCCCATACACCTGGGAACCAATGTAGTTCTACAAGGTCCTAGAGCAGTTCTGGAACAGGTATGAGCTACAAAAAGAAGGCCCCCCAATGACCCAGAAAAACTACTGTGAAATGCAGGCGATGGTAAAGCAAGAAACAGACTGTCACCAGTGGACACAGTCCCCAGTGACTTGAACTGGCAAGTGACCCATCAACTACTTCACGGGGAGGCACTAAGACACAGAGAGGGGCAGAGGCTCCCCGACCTGTAACAGAGAAACCTGTCAGTGGAAAGAGAAAACAATCAACCACCTCCTCTGGAACTGCCCATATGCCAGAGAGATGTGGAGGAAAGTAATTTTACTTCTCATGATGGTGACAGGACCCTGTCCAGAGGTGGACACTGTACAGACACCTAACCAAGCAGAAGGAAACATGACAGCTTGCTTTGACCAGTTCACTTCCTGCTTCAGAAATGCCCCGTAGAAGGCCAGGAACCTGCTTGTATACAAACACACAAATCTCTCAGTCAAGGACTGTGTCAAAATGGGACCGAGTAAGCTTCAGGGGTACTACAGGAAGACAGTAGAAGATGAGCGGGAGGAAACAGCAGAGCTCACATGGAAGAGAAGAGATTGGGACAGTGTTCAGGAGTGGGGTTCCCAGAGAAAACAACAATGATGAGGAAGAGGATGATGACAGTGATAAAGTGGGGGTGAGAGAAGAGGATGACAGGGAAGGAAGAGAGCAATGAAGACAACATGGAATAAGGACTCGGAGGAAAAACAAAAGGGTATTGGGGAGTGTGAAAAGGGGAGGGGAGTGTGCGTATATGCAAAAAACCCCAAAAGTTTGTATTACATATAAGCAGATACTAAAATTCTCCTTTAAAGTGTGTTTATGGAGTACCTGTGTTAAACTTGCAGCAGTTTAAAAAAAAAGAAGGTAAAATTAATTATTTCTGGATGAACTGTCCATGGGTACTATATGCAAATTACTACAGCTACTTTTTTTCAAGTTCAGTGTTTTCAAACGTGTCTCTTGCTTCCATGTGCTCAGAGCAAGCAAGGTGTGACAGTAAGAAGGGGAGAAAGGTGCTGTAAAGGGAAAAAGTTGGCAGAGGGCAAAAGGGCTACCTTACCCACAATTTGTTTTTCCTGCTGCAGCAGTGGGAGGTTGACAAATTCAAGGCAAACCTCCAATAATTAGATCCTATGCCTGGAAAATTATAGAAAATGTATAAATTTCCTTTATATAGAATCTATTACTAGGGGGTTGTCTTAATCGGGGTTATTTTCTATTTGAGTAAATACAGTATTTGATGACATCCTGGGTGCATGTCTAAATCTAATGAACAAAACGCATGAAGTTGCTGATTAAGACTTTAAAAAAAAGTTTGATTTTTTTCAATCTCCAGCTGTGGGATGTCATAAATGTACACGTCCGAGCACAGCCAGGAGTGACCAGGAATAACGGTCACAAGCTGGCAGAGGGTAGATTTAGGTTAGACATCAGAAGGCGCTATTTCACGGTCAGGGCGGCTAGGGTCTGGAACCAACTTCCAAGGGAGGTGGTGCAGGCTCCTACCCTGGGGGTTTTTAAGAAGAGGTTAGATGAACACCTTGCTGGGGTCGTTTGACCCCAGTACTCTTTCCTGCCATGGCAGGGGGTCAGACTAGATGATCTTCTCAGGTCCCTTCCGACCCTAGAAACTATGAAACTATGTTGCCAAACGAGGGTTCTTTGTACATAAAAAAGAACAGAAAGTGTTGCACCTGCTGCAGCATGTTTACTGAGCAGCCTTATAGGCTCACCATTGGTAG